ATGACCATGGTCCCCTGTGCTACCCTAAGGGATCATGACCATTGTCTCCTGAGCTACCCTAAGGGATCATGACCATGGTCCCCTGAGCTACCCTAAGGGATCATGACCATGGTCCCCTGAGCTACCCTAAGGGATCATGACCATGGTCCCCTGAGCTACCCTAAGGGATCATGACCATTGTCCCCTGTGCTACCCTAAGGGATCATGACTAATGTCTCCTGAGCTACCCTAAGGGATCATGACCATTGTCTCCCTTAGCTACGCTAAGGGATCATGACCATGGTCCCCTGAGCACACCTACAATGCTGCAGAGAGTGATGCTGATATTGAGGATTGCCCACCATTGGAGAAGTTCTGATGTAAGAGAAAAAGCAAAAAATACACCCAATAGGGAGCAATTTAATTCAGAAAAGGCTATTGTGGCTTCAGGGCATCACGGAGCCACTACCCTAAGGGATCATGACCATGGTCTCCTGAGCTACCCTAAGGGATCATGACCATGGTCTCCTGAGCTACCCTAAGGGATCATGACCATGGTCTCCTGAGCACACCTACAATGCTGCAGAGAGTGATGCTGACATTGAGGATTGCCCACCATTGGAGAAGTTCAGAAGAGGACCCTGTGTCACGTGACCAGCCTAAAGAATGTAAGAGAATAAGCAAAAAATACACCCAATAGGGAGCAATGGGGTTCTAACTGTTGCATTTTAGGAAATATTTCCCATTAATACTTGACATGACACAACATCTGGGGAGAGGGGGAAACAAATAAAAACCTGGCAGAGGTTTTATCCCTTCCTGATTCTCTCTACAATAATATTTTCCAGAGATGAGCTTTTAAAGAGCACTGGGCTGTGGAGGGGGCGGGGAAGTCTGGCTCAGTCTCTCAGCGGATTGCTGAGAGGCTAGGCCAGGTGTCGGTCCAGGCTCCTGGGTGGATCCGGACCATAAGGTCGCAATCTTTCCCTAGCCTGGACCGGATGAATGACGTCAACCAACAGTGGACTTTAGCACGTAGTGAGATGAAAAAGGGTCTCAGGAGTGCAAAACAAACTGCACTCCTGTGATCCACAGAAGTCCAACCAAACAAGATTTGGCTGTACTTCTCCTTTAAAGCTTGCATGTTTCAGTATATAATTACACTTCTTAAAAGGCACCATGCACACATAGGTTGTCCTATTTTTATTGGAAAATGCTCTGAAACATGCGATTAGTGTGACCTTGGTACGCAGATGCAAGAAATGTGTAGTAACTCTACTACTGTATTCAGGAACACATACCTGGAATTGCCGAAATCAGAGCATTTCACAGCTACAAAGACTTTGGATTATTATAGTGATGTGTTATTTTATGAGAACGTCTCACTATTGCTACTTGTATTTGCTGGCATGCTCTATGAAGTGATGTAAACATGCTGTGCTGCTGTCCATCTGTGTGCATCCTCTCTGGTTACATGTGGGCACAATGTAGTTACAATGTGCAACTAGACCACTAACAGAACTGGTTGTGAACCGCAGTATAAAAGAAATCCAGATTGCTGAGCTTTATCAGCATACTTATTGTTTTCATCAGCATATCAACTGACTTGTATGCAACAGCTACCCTCAGATTCGAAATTTGGAGATTTTTAAGTGGCCTTTGAAGAAATAATGGGGGGGGGGGGGGGGGGATTTATCAAATCTGGAACAGTTGTACATGGCAACTAATCAGCTTTTATCTTCAACTTGTTCACGTAAAGTTGTTGTAAACTTCAGACATGAAATATAAACAAAGTATATCCCTCTATAGTGTGTGCTTGTCTCAATCGTCATTTCTGTCTGCTGTTCCAGTCCTCTGCTATCTCTATGAGTAACTTCTGACAAGGTTTCCGGACACCAAAAGGTAAAAAGGTGACAGAGGAGGGAGCTCTGGAACATAGCTTGTGATTGACAGCTACAGCCCTATTCCTGTGTGCTGTGTGAAGGGAGGTGTTTCCCTTCCCTCCTATCAGCTCTCCTCAGGAGAGTGTAACTTCAGCTCTCTACCAAACGGTCTACTGATGGGCTTGTTTTTACTTCCCAATATGTGAGTTTTTACATTGTGGATGAATACATTTCCATTACATACTGCATTCAGAAGGCTCTTTTTCCTTTTCCTTCAGCTCTCTGCCCCCCTGCTCTCTGAAAGCTCAGATAAACTGTATACATTCTGCACTCTGAATGGATGTAGAGTGCAGCAGATAAACATGTACAACTAATGTAGGAGTATTTGTTTTATCTCTGTGTGTATCACAAGGCCAGTTACTTCACTGGGCATAGCCTAGCGTTTACAACCACTTTAAGCTTTGAAAATAAAAGATAGAAGCTGATTGGCTGCCATTCACAGCTGCTCCAGTTTTGATAAATCTCCCCAGTGTATGTAAACTAATGCAGATTTCCTAAGCATTCAAATGTAGTTATTTCTAAAGCTGCAACACAAAGCTCAATATTCCAGAGGAAGAGAGAATGGGGTATATGGTGGGTCAAGACGAAGGGTTTCTTATCATTGTATACACACAAATAATTTTTATTCTAAAATGATTTTTTTTTTGTTTACCAGATAAATAACTGAAGGTCAAGGTACAAATAATGATTTCCAATCATCTAGTGATGAGCATTGAAATCATATCTATAGGTGCCCCAGTCACAATGGAAACATTGATGCATTGCAGACAGGTAAAATCCATAAAGGCTTTACCCAAGTAAAGTCTGTATGATGTGAGTGTTTTACATTTTTAGATCAATATGAAGACTAGCAACCTGTTGAGGTCTTTTTTATATAACACCAATTTTTTTTAAACACAAATGTGGACTAACACTGTAGCCACCAAGGTTTTTCAGGAGCTGGTGACATCAGTGCAGTACTGGCAAGGCTCCAAAAGGTTGTTTGGCCTGTGTGAATGGAACAGGCAGACGTAAAGTTACCTTCTAGATTTTAATTTCATCTGAATTGAAAAAATAGCCGCTGATTTAGACTCTTCTATGCTGAAGGGTCCACCAAGCTACATGGTATAAAAAAATTGCTACAGGCAGTTCTTCCCATTCCATTATTGCAAAAAGGACAAATCTAAATTCACTGCTAGCGATGATCCAACAACATTCCTACAATCCATTATGTGAAGATGGAAGACTAATACAGGCAGTTCCCAGGTTACAAACAAGATAGGTTCTGTAGGTTTGTTCTTAAAACAGAGTTCCAGTTGAATAATAAAAGAAAAAAAATACAAAAGCTACAAAAACTGTAGCTGCTGACTTTTTATATACAGCCACTTACCTGTCCCTTGGTCCAGCGGTATCCTCACCACCGCTGGTTTCACCAGCCATCTTCTGTCCCTGGCGCTGGCATCTACAGTGTGGGAAACCGGCTGTGACAGCTTGCGGCTTCACAGCCGGGTGCCCACTGCGCATGCGCGGGTAGTGCTGCACTTTGGCCTCGTAGTCTTCTGGGACCTGTCACGTGAGGGAGGGGGAGGACAACTTCCGCTTCCGATCGCCTTAGGTGATCACACCGGAAGTGGGAGCGCGTACCTGGGTACCCGCTCCCCAAAAGTGCCAATTCTTAACGGGGAGCGGGGGACAAAGCCTTAAAGCGGAACTTCCTCTTTTGGGTGGAGCTCCTCTTTAAGTTGAATTTGTATGTAAGTTGGAACAGGTACATTTTTTATGTGTAAATCCAGCCAAAAAAAATTTTACGTTTTGGATAGCATAGGGAAGGGTTAAATGGCTGTGATGTAGGATTGCTGACCATCGACTGGACAGTAGGTGGCAGCATGCGGTGTGTAGCAAGATGGCCACTCAGCGTTTACCGGGACCAGCATGATGTCACACTGCCTTTGTTCCTAAGTATGGGGCATATATATGTAAGTTGAATATTTGTAACTCGGGGACTGCCTGTACCAGGGTACAGTTATGGCATAATGTAAAATGTAATAAAGAGGCCACAAATATTAGGATGTCCTGGAGGTGGAGACATAAACTGATCTCAATCATGGGCCCTTTAAAATTAAACTGGAGAATCCCTTGAAACAGCTGTTGTGACATCCATCCACCTCTCGCAGAATGAAAGGCCACACACTAGGGCTGAAAACAAAGACATGGTAGTGCAAAGACTTTATACTGAATAACAATCTCAGCCATACATGTTCAAAATAACGAAACAGGATTTCTAGAAAAAACATATTATTTCCCTGTAGTACAAATGCAACATAAGTTGATCGTAAATTAAAATTTCTTTAGCAAGTATTTCCATTGTAAAAAAAAAAAAAAATGTCAGCCAACATTTATACTGGAGAAATTACATAAAAAAAATACAAAAAAAGCAACTCCAGCTTGCTATTTAATGATAGTCTTAAATACTGTTTATGACAATATACCAGGATCAGCCACCAGGACTTTTTTTTTGTTAAAAAAAAAATTGAACAAGAACCAAATAAAAAAAAAGTAGAACTCATAATTTATAGATCTCATGTATAAATTAAAAAAAAAAAACACACCACGTATTTTAAATGAAACAAAAAAGCAAGAATATAACATTTAGCAATGTGCTCCAGTGCGACAGACTAAATCTAAGGTCACTTTGTAAGTTGACAATTTTGTCTTTTTTTGGGGTGTTAAGGTCTTTCTTTGAATTCTCATATCTCAGTATTTGTTTAAAAAGAAGATCAAATGATAAAAAATAAAGACAAAAAAAAACAAATACAGTATATTGATATAAGAATGCCTCTTCTTGTACAACCTAGGTCATATTATACACCAAATTTCCACGTATGAAGCAGATAATGTTGTACAGCCATGATGATATCAATTTGTAGTATGTCACATGGTCTGTACAAGTTTAGTGCCAGATAAAAGCAGCTTCCTCATATTTTTTTCACACATAGTCCAGTGCTCAACCTCTGGCATGTTACAGTATACCACTGCTGCCACTACATTTTGGGATAGTTTGTCTCTCCTTATAACTACTGCTTTAATGAGTTCAGTGTTTTATTTTTGTTTCTTTTCTTTCTGTGAATCTTTTTTTTGCTCAGATTTGAACAGTCTTCTTGGAACAACCATGATGCTGCCATCACTATTACAGTGCAGTGCATATTGGCTTGGATTGACCGGCCTGCCCTGATCATCTCGTAGTCGGCTAAACACATTGCGGTAGAGGTCATTGAGTTTCTGTTTCAAGTGGCTCACGGACTTGCTGCATTGAGCTTTCTCTTTTAAAAGCTTTTCTTTCTGTGCCTTTAACTGATTTACATCGTCCTCCAAGTTCAAAATGACATCCAGCTTACGTTTTCTACAGTTCTGAGCAGCGACCTTGTTTTTCCCCCTACGCCGAATATCTCTTATAACAGATATCTGTGTCTCAGTCAAGTAATGCTTGGATAACATGTTGTTAAACATCTCTACGGGCATGCTAACAATTTCATCTACAGAGAAGGGAATTTTTAGGGATTTAGCCCGACGTTCATCACGGCTGAGGCTTTTCTCCATTCCACCAACACAGGGGCTTCTTAATTTACCTGATTTTGCTGTCCAGCTGTAATGATGTTCAGGACTATGCTCTAACTGGTCAGGCAGCTGATTGTATGTATGGTTATGGCGGACATTATTTAACGAAACTTCATCATAGTAACTTTCATCATCTTGATAATCCATCTGGCAAAGTTTGTTGATATCTGTCCAGCTTCCTCCAACTGCCCCTTCTAGGCCATCATAAGAGACAGATTCAGAGTCACTGCTGTAGCCAGCAGCTCCTTCATCCTCCCCAAAGGTTACAGATGAAGAATCAGATATGCTTGCAGATGCAGGGCTATGGCTTGAATTAAGAGAAAGTCCAGAATCTGAGTCTGGTTCTTCAAACAACTGAGACACCTCCAAAGGATCAAATCCTTCTTCCAGGGCTAAGGACATTAAATTAATTTCATCAAATACATTCTCGTCAAGACCAGAAAGAAGATCTTGATTTGTTGAGTTTCTAGAGCAGTTATCAGTAGTTGGAAATAAAGATGTTAAATCTGTTACACTCAGGGGTCCTCCATGAACAGTAGATGAGTTTAACTGCATGAAGCTTTCTGGTGTTGGGGGCAAATCTTCAATGGACCTGACACTGTGACTTGATGTGTACATGGCTTCCTGCAGACTTACATCTTGGCTTATTGCCTCAGTAAAATCCACGTTGTAAGGTGCAGTAGAGCTGATTGGATTGTTGGTATTTGAGATTGACTGGATATCCTCCAGTGTAATCTGGGAAAAAAAACAAGATTCAAGGATTCATTTTACTGTAGTTGTATTTGTAGATTTATTTATAGTAGTCTATGACCCCAATCTTAAAAATGGGAAAAAACACAAGATTCAAGGATTCATTTTACTGTAGTTGTATTTGTAGATTTATTTATAGTAGTCTATGACCCCAATCTTAAAAATGGGAAAAAACACAAGATTCAAGGATTCATTTTACTGTAGTTGTATTTGTAGATTTATTTATAGTAGTCTATAACCCCAATCTTAAAAATGGATTGTCAGCCAGTTTGGCCCCAAAGGTTCATTATTAATGCAGACACTAAAGCACAGCCTTTAGCTTTTGGTCAATCCATTCGAAACCATAAAATTAAACCATGCCATTTGTCTTGCTATCCCACCTAACAATACCTGTGCACAGAATAAACTCTTTATGACTCCCTCTCATGTTACAGAGAGCAGCTGTGAAAATCCAGATGGGAAATCAAACCTTTGAAGGTAAAGTTGATTTTTACAGTCTGTCTGGAAACAATTACTATCTCTCCTTTACAAACAGGCTGGAACTATTTTAATATAGTATGTTGTTTAAAGGCCAACTAAAAATACAAAATTCCAGCCTATTGGTGAAAAAAGGGAAGAAGGAAGCCTAAGTAAATGCTGCTATCTTGATATTGTTAAAGAGCTTAAACATAAGAATGGGTCTAATGAAGAGCTTCCAAAAGCACAGTTACTGTTTGATGGGATAGCAAGAGGCATGGGTCACTTTAAGTTTTTGCTAGATATTGGATAATTGGGTCACTCACCAGCTTGTTACCTAGACCCCATTAGCGAGAGGCCTGAATTTAAACTTTCTGAGCAGGTCACTTGCTATGGTCTTCAAAAAATTGTACTCACTTTTTTTAATCAATTTAATATTTTTGAGGAAGAGTGGCAAAGATTTCAATGTGAAATGGCTGAGCCAGGAACTAAGCTGGAAATATATTACCACAAGAGTTCCTGAAAGACAAAATGAGTCTGTGGGACAAGTCTAATGCTGAAAACAAATGTTTTGGATGGACTGCCGTTAACTATAGGCTGCACTGCTTTTACTATTATGTACACTGGGTATGCGCCAATAGGTGGGCAAATCAAAGAGGTGGCTTTACCCTGTGTGGGTATTGACTTCACTTTTCCTATTAGTCATCTATTAAAAGTTTACTTACACACTATCACAATATTGTGAATCAGGTTAGGACCAGTAAACCAAGAACATGGTCTGTATAAAAGAGGCGATCCAGGCAGAGCAGTGTTTATTTGCCAAAGGCTGGTTGCCTACAGTCTCCAGTGATGGAAATCCAGCCCCAAATGTAGCACTCCATTTCAGATCATTACAAGTGCAATTAAATTAACTGCAACATTTCCAGGACCAAAATACCTAAATGTACTTACATTTATATCAGGCAGGGAAAGGAGGTCTTGCCATAGTTCACTGACTGAATTCCCTGGTCGGGAGGAGGGCTGGGTATTCTGAAGAGATGTTTCACTTGTGCCCTTCACAAAGAAATCACAATTTAGTGAATGGTGTTAAACATGCAGACATGCAGAATACTACAAAAATGAACAGGCTTTGAGCTTACAGTGAACCTGTCAGCCACTGTAAAGTAAGAAAAGAAAAGTTAAAGTCCAGCCCCAGGAGCATTCAGCTAAAGATGCTTTCCATTACAATTTGAAGCCTGAAATCCCATCTTTTTGTACCTTTGATTTTGTTTCACTTGGTCAAAAGGGCTTCCCTGATCTCTAGGCAATTTCCCACTGACCTGACTTCACCCTCTCCAATAGGAGTCATTAGACAAGTGCAGGGTTTTGTTCAGATATCAAACCTCTAATAACAAAGTAAAACTAAAATCAGAGAGGTGCACAGACAAGGGTTTCTGGCTAATACAGGGAACAGCAAAGTCACAGGCTTTTAGTTTTAAATGTTGTATGACTGTCAGTGTTGCTTTAGGATACCCTGGATATTGGATCACTGAAATATATGGGCACCTTAAAATGTGAGCAGACACACCCAGTTAAAGGTGGGTAAACAAGGTTGGAAACTTTGTGTGGCCCTCCCTGTTTGACAGAAGTTGACTCTTGTGGAAGGAGACTGGTAAAAAACTTTCATTTGATCAGCCACTGCAACAGTGATCAGTGTATTCTGCTAGTGGAGTCCCTCTGTCAGAATACAATAGCACAGCAGGGAGGAACCCTCCATCCACCTCCTTTGTGTGGATGGGGGAATCCATATTTTTTTTTTATTGGCTGAGCAAAAAACAACTTAGCATGTATACCCAGCTTAAAAGTTACTGAGGGTAAAACTTGCCTGTGAAAATTTATATCAGTATTGCCTCTATGCCTGCCTGGTCTGTGAAGATTTTGAAATGATTTTTGTTATCTGCAGAAAGTATTTTATGGGGGGGGGGGATATATTGTTTCTTCATTGTAAGTATGTGTTTTTATACCATGAATAAATATGAAAAGGAGATCAGTCTTCTGTAAATAATATTGTATTTTTTTTTAGTAGGTAAATGATTTATAGACTTATTTTTCTGTACAGTTTGTAGTTATATATGTATTCAGGGAAGTCATATTTATTATATATGCAGGCTTGGCTTTCTGTACAATGGGCAATATTGCTCCTTCTCCTAATGAAAGTCTATCCTGAATAATAATAATAATAAAAATAATAATATTTATAACTTGGCCAACTCACTGAAAAACAAACAGGGTTTGCTTATAGTGGCTAAACAACCTTGTCTTTTAGTGGCCGGTCTACACATTTCTACACTATATTGCCAAAAGTATTGGGACACCCCTTAAATCATTGGATTCAGGTGTTCCAATCACCTCCATGGCCACAGGTGTATAAAATCAAGCACCTAGGCATGCAGACTGCTTCTACAAACATTTGTGAAAGAATGGGTCGCTCTCTGGAGCTCAGTGGATTCAAGCTTGGTACCAGGATAGGTTGCTACCTGTGCAATAAGTCCATCCGTGAAATTTCCTTGCTAATAAATATTCCACGGTCAACTGTTGGTGGTATTATACCAAAGTGGAAGCAACTGGGAACAACAGCAACTCACCTACGAAGTGGCAGTTCATGTAAATTGACAGAGCGGGGTCAGCACATGCTGAAGCGCACAGTAGCCAACTGTCTGCAGAGTCAATAGCTAAAGACCTCCAAACTTTGTGTGGCCTTTAAATAGCACAACAACAGTGCGTAGAGAGCTTCATGAAATGATTTTCCATGGCCGAGCGGCTGCATCCAAACCTTACATCACTAAGTGCAATGCAAAGTGTTGGATGCAGTGGTGTAAAGTATGCTGCCACTGGACTCTAGAGCAATGGAGACGTGTTCTCTGGAGTGATGAATTACACTTCTCTGTACGGCAATCCGATGGATGTGTCTGGGTTTGGCGGTTGCCAGGAGAATGGTACTTGCCTGACTGCATTGTGCCAAGTATAAAGTTTGGTGGAGGGAGGGATTATGGTGTGGGGTTGTTTTGCAGGGGTTGGGCTTGGCCCCTTAGTTCCAGTGAAGGGAACTCTTAAGACGTCAGCATAATAAGACATTTTGGACAATTTCATGCTTCCAACTTTGTGGTAACAGTTTGGGGATGGCCCCTTCCTGTTCCAACTTCACTGCACACCAGTGCACAAAGCAAGGTGCATAAAGACATGAATGAGCGAGTTTGGGGTGGAGAACTTGACTGCCCTGCACAGAGTCCTGACTTCAACCCGATAGAACACCTTTGGGATGAATTAGAGGGGAGACTGTGAGCCAGGCCTTCTCGTTCAACATCAGTGCCAGCCTGACAAATGTGCTTCTGGAAGAATGGTCAAACATTCCCATAGACACACTCCTAAACCTTGTGGACAGCCTTCCCAGAAGAGTTGAAGCTGTTATAGCTGCAAAGGGTGGGCCAACTCAATATTGAACCCTACAGACTAAGACTAGGATGCCATTAAAGTTCATGTGCGTGTAAAAGCAGGCGTCCCAAATACTTTTGGCAATAGTGTATATTTAATACAAGTCTAATTTATTTATTTATATAATACAATAACAAAAATATGTAATAAAAAGAATGTAAAATAGGAAAAGCAAATACAAAATTACTTTAAGGTTAAACTGCTATAATAAGTCATAATATGCACTATAATTCTTCATGTGCTACATTAAATAATGCTACCTCTCATGTTGTATCCTAGAACACTAGATGGCTGTAGATTTGTAAATTTTCATTTCAAACCATAGTATATGGTATGACTATATGTAGATGAAGAGTACAGATAGCGTCTTTTTATTGTCTTCAGCCTTTAGCCTGTAAAAATTACTCTGCATTTGGGGACAATTGAAGCTTTGCAATAGAAAAGACAGTCTATTTTGGAATTGCCAATTAGGCCCTCCAGTTGTTGACTAAACAACTGTTACCAATTACTGAATAACAATGCAAATGATTTTTGTGACAAAGCCCAAAAGTGCAGCAAAACATCTGTTTCTGTCTTAAGTGCTATACATAAGAGCAGCTCTGAGACAACAGTGATGCTAGATAGAAGCTTTAATCACAGTAACGCACTTCATGGCTCCCCAATGCCATGTCTCTGTTATTGTTAGCTATTGTACAACTGTGTATTCCTATATTTTATACATTAGAAAAGGTAAACGGTATACCTTCTGCAGTTTAAAAGGCTTGTTAATATGTCAGGCACACAAGTCATAACTATCTATTGGGCTGTTGCGAAGAAGCCATCCTAAGTATCCAGAATTCAGTAAAATATTAATAGCCCATAACAAGTAGGATTGTTCTAGGGTAGTGAGTGTGAAAAGTCCTAAAATGTCAGAACTATATACTGTATATTGCGGGGGAAGACTCAGCTGGTATTAGCAGGGGTAAACCATCCAGGAGACAAGGAAACCTAGAACAGTCCAGGCAGGTTTGTCCTGCAATTTTACTTGGCAGGGCAGCAAACAAACACAGTTGCAATGC